GAATTCTGAGAAAAAAGTCAGAATTCTGAGATTAAAGTCAGAATTCTAAGTAAAAAATTCAGAATTCTGAGATTAAAGTCAGAATTCTTTTTCCCATACTAAACTGAAATAAAATTTAAAAAATCAGTTAACTTTTTTTTTTTAAGTGGCCCTAATCCTTTTCCGTAGAAGTGTGTTTATATATATACCGGTATATATATAGTATATGTATTTTTTTTTCTTTTAGTCTAAAAACCACAAAAAAATACTTTGGAGTTAGTGGAAATGTGACTAAATGTAAGCAGGTGCAGCATTGTATGATAGAAAACCAAGTTGTCATCACCAAATCCCATCTGTTCACATTCATCCCTCAAAAATCTGTATTCAGGGGTTAAAATAACTCCGCAGATTAAAATGAGCTGTTGTTACACTTCTTTCTAAAAATATGCAGCAAATACCTTGAAGCCTCTCTGCTCCCATCACCCAGAGGCATTCACAGCCATCCTTCCTAAATCCAGTGCAGCCAACATGTCCTGCAACAGATAAGAGTTCCTGAACTAGATTTTCAGGAGGGGACCGATCAATCCCAGAAGGCAGCGCCTGCGGAGCGCGTCTGTCTCCGGGTCCGAAAGGTCATTTCCTCGTTTCAATTAGCAGTCTTGGCTGCACTAATTGAAGAGTGATTGATGAAGGTGGTAACCTCAGCTGCTGTGCTTGAGCAACAGTAGGAACACTGAAAATTGGCTGAGGCAGTGAAACTGTTCTTTGCACTTTAAAGATAGGCATTAAAAATGATCCACTTACAGGACCATGGACAGAGTCAGAGTAAAAATACACACAAATAAACAAAACTCCATGTCTTTTTGTTAAAAACATGTTATATGCTGTAGTTTGTTTTGTTCCTAAAAATGAAAATGTTTCCAAGTTTGAAGACGTTTCTCTTCCCATCCAGGAATCTTTTTCAATTCAAAATAGCGTTTAGTTCCAGGTTTTATCCAGCAGCCCAACAAAGCCTGGTTTTAGTTTAGAAAACATGCAAATAGAAACGGATGAACGGGTCCCCCCCTTTGGAATGGGGGTCGTTTGGCTTCTTTGTTGGCCTGCAATGATCACATCAAACACACTTCAAAAGGTGTAAAAAGCAGTTTTAAATAGGGATGCACGATATTGGGATTTTGGCCG